GAGAGAGAAAGACAGAGAGTTGTAAGGTTGTCCATCTCTAACATCAACACTAGGAGTCCATGTGCTGCTGATATGATATATGAGGCACCCACTGTCTGTCCATGCCATCGCTATAGGAGGCAGTTTCATCTCTCTCTGCAGGGAAGACCAGATTTATGGGGCTGAAACTGTACACTTGTTTATATGCTTTCCCAACTCCCACTAGTCTGCACCCAGTGAGGAAGATTAATAATCAAAAAGCAGAGACAGTCAACTTGCAGAAGAAAATCAGCTCAATATATCATAAATAAACAATGAGATACAGTGGAAGAAAAGAAGCAAATACTTTAAATCTTGTTCCCTCTCATCTTATCATTTATGAGAATCAGATCTCAGTGCATAAATCAACCATCAAATGCCTGAAGGAACCATTGATTGAAATGTAGGTCAAAATATCATAGTCAACAAAACTCTATCTGACAATTTAGGTTAGTCTGGAGTTTCTCCCACACAGACCTCTGTACACACATTGTCATAATTCTCTCACACATCCATACTGGCATCTGTTTATGGACAGCAGGTCTTCCTCCTCCTGTTTCCTCCATCTTCCAGTCAGCCTGTCTCCTGCTGTGTGGTCGTAAACTCCTGTAATATATTTAGCATGCTCAGTGATCTTCTCGCTACTGCTGCTCAAGGCCTCTTGTTGCTATCATATCAGCACAGTGAAGCCATCATTGTGACACTGATATAAAGTATCTGTAGTGAAATGTCAGGAAAGCCCAGTGGGTTCTGATTTCATTACTCGCTTTTATTATAGCATTTATCTGTAAATCTTGTCTTGTTTATTCCGTCTCAAATTTCCTGTGACTGAAACTGTGCATACAATAATTTATCCATACGTACATTCAGTGGTTGGCCATGATGTAGAGTTAACCAAATTACGTGGGGGTTATCCACCCATTCAGGAAGACACAAAACATACACACTTCCCAAAATGCCTTGCTCTTCGTGTTACTGACAAACCTACTCATGTTACTATTAAGCATATACAAATGTGGTGGCACGGTGATGTAGTGGTTAGCACTGCCACCTCACTGCAAGAAGGTTCCAGGTTCAAATCTGGACTGGGGCCTTTCTGTGTGACGTTTTCATCTTCTCCTCATGCCTACCTGGGGTACTCTGACTGATCTGAACAGATCTCAACCCACTTGAAACATTTGGGGCTGGAGCACCCTTCCATCACCACTATGTGCACCAGCACATGGTGCTGGTGTTCTGCACGGGCACGGTTAGTCATCACACTTACCATGCTCGATTCCAGTGTGCCCTGGCCACTTGAAAGAGGTGGCCTCGGGCAGGGTATGTTGAACTGTGCCCTGGCATAGCACAGAGCAATCACACTAATCAAATGAATTGGACTTTGGGGTGAAATGTGCTTGGGCATACTGCAGAGTTCCTAGTGTACGTATGCACTAAGACACTTTATGTTGGGTTTTCCTTTCATTAATGCGCATCACTATTCGTTCAGGGTCTTGCACTGTGAGCAGATTAGAAAGCTAATGATTATTTTGATTGAAACTGGAAAGACAGCCAGGTTAAACCTACATACCTTATTATGGCTAGACTACTTTCTTTGTTGTTGTTTTTAGAATGAGCACTATGCTTTGTTAGATTCCTTCTCTCTTCCCTTTCAGTACAGTTCAGGCATAACTTTGCCAGAAAATCTCTAGTTCTTTGATGTTTAACTTTGTCAATGAGATTTTCTGCCTCCACAGCAGCTCTGCTGCTCAGACTGGACTAAAGTTTCACTCTGTGCATAAATGAAATTCAGTCTGCTATATACATCTTTGCACATGCCAGCTGGAGTCAGGGACAGTGGGGCAGAGAAATAGACTTCCCAGTAAACTACACTCTCCAAGAGAAAGCCTTAGAGAATAATTCTCATAGAATATATAAAGGTTATGCACAGGAGAGCAATCTTTCTTACTATGTCTGTCTTACTCTGCTTTAGCTAGTTCTTATCGTTTCCTCTCCAAACCTCACTGGATGCTAAACTGCCATAGATCAACTCTGCACAACTCTGGGAAATGGTTCTGTTCCAGACAGACATGCCCGCCTCTACAGCAAGTAATGATCTGGTCAGCTTTTGGGTTTAGTATAGATCCCTGCATAACTTGGTCTCTGTTCTGTGTGTGACAGTAACACAGTTCAAACTGTTTGACAGTGCCAAATGTTTCTTCTGAAACTCTATATTTTCCATCTCACTTTCATCCTGTATATCTTTTCCTGCAGTCTACAGCAGTACCTAGCCTGTTGTTTACCACTCAGAGTGTTTCAACCTAGTGGATGTGATTAGTAACTCCAGACAGCTTATTGAGTATCAGAAAGATCAGTCGTGGAAATGTACTTAACCAGTGCGGGCTTAGCCCAAATCTCATACTTTGTAATTTGTACCACATAGTTTTCCTGAATGCAGCCTAAAAATATGCCATTTTATATGAAATTCTTACCTGATGTTGAGCTATTATTTTTCACATATTTCAGGACAGTATGAAGGTCATTAAGGTCTTTAGGTGTTGTATCATTGCACAAGTGAAAGATATATTTTATCAAAAACATTAACAAAACATAAAACTATTTTGGAAAACAAACTGGGTAAGTACATATTCCCAATCTATTTTCTGATTCAATTCTAATGTTAGCCTAAGTTTTGCACATCAGGGCCATTGTAGCTGAGTGGCAAATTTAAGAGTACCAGCCTTTCTAATGCCAGTAATTATAAAAATCCTATTATCAACTTCATAATTTCTAAGTTAGCTTGGATTCTTTTACCCGACATGACAACATAATGTGCAAATGGCTTTTTGGTAACTGTGACCTGTCAGATGACTGGCTACTTTGAATGCTTTCCCAAAGAAGACATTTTAAAATGTTCCATGCCTGTACTGTAGTGTAAAATTTGACTTAACATTTTATGTCTACAAAAAGGCATGCATACAAAATTACTTCATTAGTAACTCGTGTTGGTTGTTATTGTTAAAGATGCTAATCCTCTGGTATCAGCATACCCGTCTGCGTTTCACAGTTACCTGAAGCAGTACTTGAACTACAAAAAGATGGTAACAAGCACAAAGAATTGTTAGTGAAAACGTTTGTGGTCAAATAACCGTCATGCAGGGGATCAGTGTCTTCTTCCATTCATCAGCCTTCACTGCCAGAGCACAGCAGTTTTGGTGGGGTCAGAGATACTGTATATTGCCCTTTGTATCCAGATAGTCAGGCAGCTTCCTCCTTTGATATATACACTGGCCTTATGTGGCCTGAGGAAAACTTCAGAATAAGAGAAAGACAAACCTTTGTTTGTTATGCTCTAATGTTCCACATGATACTCCAGTGGGTTAATATAAATATCTGAACTAATAAATACACTCACTGGCCACTTTATTAGGTACACCGCTGGACCGTAACCCACCACAGAACATAAAAAGATATAAAAAGACTACCCCTGCTGTTGCACAAACTCAATACATTCCCCCTCTTTGTTATATTATATGTAAATCTGCTGCTGTTGCTCATTTGCAATACTGTCCATGTATACCTCATATGCTATTTACACCTCATCACCTCAAGGCCCTGGTGATCCTGAACCATCTGACAATCTCCTATTATTGTTTGCACTGCTGTCACTGACTGTACTCAGTTTTGAGTCACATCTTAATGGCTGTACCATTTAGCTTTATCCTAATTACATCAATCCAGTTCTTATTCTGTTCTATTTTTATTCTACTTTATTCTATTTTAGTTCCTAAATGTTATGGCACCCAATACTAGGTGAGAGAGAAATGTTGTTTCAATTTTCTGTATGTCCTGCATATATGGTGAATTGACAATAAAATCCTTGAACCTTGAACCCTACACCTGTACATTTGTATGCACTTCAAAACAACACTTCCACCTTAATGTCTGTGTTTATGAAGCTCAAAATGTTTCACTTTTTGGTGAAATTGTCATAAATGTATAAATTCAAGTATATTTATTATTGAGGTCGTAGTTAAAGGTGATGTTGTACTGGACTAAATTATTGTTAGAGGTGTGTCTGTATTTTTGCCCTTCCCAGCTACATACATGGGAGGGTCAGAATATTAGGAACACCGCTGAATATAATGCAGTCTAGTACAACACTACCTTTAATTATGAATTGACTATGTATTGACAGTTAAACACACATATTAAAAAAGCATATTAATAAAGAACACTGACTCATACCTTTGATCAGTTTCTTCATTTTATTTTTAATTTGATAAATTTGTTTTATGCAGATTAATAGAAAGAAATTACACAAATCAGGGAATAATAAACAAGGAAAATAGTTAAACAATTCTACAGTCACTTTCTTAAAATGGCACGCTATTCCCACACTTCAGTGTTTTCTTTTTCAATCAGTTATTTCAATATTCCTGCAAAAGATAAAGATGGTGCGATCTTTAATGGATTAGTTTAGAAAATGCAGTAAATAAATGTAAAACAAACATATTCTGGCTTCATGCAGTGGTGCATTTTCAGTTTAACAGCTTTATTATGCTCAAAGCAATGAGCAGTTAATTCAAGCAAACAATATTTTGTGTTCAGACTTTGCTTTCAAAATGTTCTACATAAACAAACCAGGATTTCTGCTTGTTTGTATGTTTTTTGGATACTTGTCCCTTCAGTTACCATTTCCCACCTCTATTATTTTTTTCAAAGCTTTCAAAGTGTAGACATGCATAAATATTTATAGATTTGTCAATTTTGGAAACAAGCACTCAAAATCACTTGAAGTTTTCCCATCCCCTCACTAACCTTCTAGGGCTGATATGCAGTTAAGACTACAGTAACAGACAGAGATTTCAAAGATGTATTGATGAGCTGAGCTGAGACCTCCACCATAAAATAAAATGAGGTTGCAGATATAGTACACCTCAAAAATGTTTGGCCCATAACCCTGAGGCCAGTATTTTGCATTCAACTCATGAATGTTTTCCTTACTGTTTGGCCCTTTTGAACCTTCTGTAAAACACAGCTCCAACAATAAAGGCAATAACACAGGCAACGGCAAGGATGCCAACAGACACACCAAGTTTGGTAGTAGTGCCAGCATTGTTTTCAGCATTTTTGAGATTCTGGTTGGACAGGGGAGTGTCAGCTTGGGTGACGATCGCTGGAGAGGAGATGGTATAAGGTTTGGTTACCGATGTGTCATCTGTGCCATCTGCGGCCCTCTTCCTCCGCGTTCCACTGCATTGCTTGAATGCGGCGCAGCTGTTCGGCTCACACAGCCTGGTGATGCAGTGGAGGTAGTAAGTGGACACTGACTGGTTCTGCTGCTCAAGGAAGCGGAAGGCTGGAAAGTAAAAGCGGGCACTCTGGTTCATTCCATTTACAAGCATGGTGGTCATTCGATCATTGGTGCAGGGGACAAACAGGTTGAAGTAGGTGGAGTTAGAAGGCAGTGCGGAGATAGAGGCGTAGCACCGGTCAAGCAGAACATTGTATTGGGTGGTCAAGTTGGTGGCCTTGACCTCAACGTACACATTGGTCCTCATTAGAATTCCCGTTGATGGCATGAGCAGCGGTGTAGTGTAGGTGGTATCACTGAACAGCTTCATGCTCAAGGTGCTGAGGAAACTTCCATTGTTTAATGTGGCCGCGATGGATTGACCTGTTACATCAACCTCAGTGTTGTTCAGGATGTATTCTAAGGGATAGGAGCAGGAGTAATAGTACTTCAGCTCAGTGTTGTAAGTGACTGTGCCTGTTGTAGGATCAAAAGACTTAACCATGCCACACACGCTGACTGTCTGGATGTTGGAAAAGTCAGAAAAGAGATCTGTCCCAGCAGCACTAACGGTCTTGAAACTGCTTCCACAGGCATTGGTCAAATTTATGGGGAAGGTGAAGCGAACAACAGGAGGAGAAACAGAAGTGTCGAGGGTGCCGTTACAACCTGGGTTCAAGTTGTTGTTCAGGATCAGAAGACTCTCATTGTAGCCAGAGTATAAGACCGGGCAGAACTGGATCGCTAGGCTAATGGATGAAGTACCACACTGCACTGAGATGTCATTGAGCTGTGGCCGTCTTGCTTGAGTCCCACAGTCAGTCAGTGTCAGCTGGTTACTTCTGGCTATCAAGAAGAGTAAAAGAAAAAAGCTCTTCATTGTTGGTCTTCAGCTTTCGATTAGATTTGTCAGGCACTCTTCTCAAAGTCTTGCTACTGAAGGCTGGTAGATCTTCTCAGGAGTCTTATATAGGGAAATGTATCCACTGGGATTGGTCCAGAATGGTGTCAAACACCTTCCTATTTTTCCACAACCACACTGTGTTAAGTAGGAAATTTCTAGGATTTATCCTAAGGGCAACAATTGAAACCTGAAATTGTCTTGAAGTACAAAGACAATGACCTTGTTCTTTTCCTATAAAATATAGGCTTCCATGTCCCCTGGTACTAAGCCTTCATGAAGTAAGTCAACCTTACACCCTGTGAGATGTATTTTTTACAGCAGCATGTAATATTGTAAGGGTTCTTCTAGCCAAGTCATATTAGTGTCACACATGGGAGGCGTGTCAGCTTATTATGATGTACAGTATATAGTGAGATGCTATTGTTGTCACTGTGTAGTCAGAGGCAAGTGATGAAATGACCAAGGTAATCCTTTACTTTATTATGAAGGTAACTGAACCTAATGGCAGTGGAGACAAAGATAGTAAATGTTACTGTATTATGACTGAGACCAGGCAGAGCGTCACTAGCACTGCAGTAGACTATAATACAATCCCTTTCAAGTCTTCCACATTTTATGTTTCAGATTTCTCCTAAAATTGATTCAGTTTATTTTGTTTCTCATCAATCTACACACATTATTTCACAATGATAAAGTGAAGACAGCTTTTGCAAGTGTATTGAAAATAAAAAACTGAAATGTCCCATTTACAAAAGTTTTCAGACCCTTCATTTAGTACTTGGTTAAAGCACCTTTGGCAACAATGACATCCTCAAATCTTCTTGAGAATGAACCTACAATCTTGGCACCTTTCTTATGGAATTTTCTTCCATTCTTCTTGGCAGCATCATTCAAAGTCAACCAGGGGTTGGGAGTGGTAGTACATAGCCATTTTCATTTCTCTCCAGAGATGCTCCATTGGGTTCACGTCGGGACTCTGGCTGGGCCACTCCAGAACTTTCACAGAGTGTTCCTGAAGCCCCTTCTGCGTTTTCCTGGCATTATGCTTCAGGTCATTGTCTTGTTGAAATGTAAACCCTCGCCCTAGCCTGAGATCCTGAGCACTGGAGAAGTCTTCCATCTGGCCAGTCTACCACAGAGGCCTGATTGGTGGAGTGCTGCGCTGATGGTTGTCCTTCTGTAAGGTTCTCCCATCTCCAGAAAGGAACTCTGGATCTCATTCATAGTTACCCTTGGGCTCTTGGTTACCTGTCTGACAAAGGCCCTTCATCCCCAACTACTCAGTTTGGCTGGGTGGCCAGATGTATGAAGAATATTGGTGGTTCCAAATCTCTTTCATTTGAAATTGATGGAGGCTACCGTGCTCTTGGGCACTTTCAATGCTGCACAGGTTTTCTTGTATCCTTCCCCAGATCACTTGTCTTTTGTAAACAGAGTCTGTAGTAAACATTCCAATCCTCCCCAATCCTCTCTAGTGAAGCAACAGTTTCTGCTGGTGTACGGCAAGCCCACGTGGACACCCCATAACACAGAGTTTCAGTTCACCATAATACTAGAACCAGTAGTAACAATAATGAATGGCAATTTGTTAAGTTTAGTTATTATTATATGTGCTAATGATTGATTTGGAGGGTGGTGAGTGGTTGCCTGCCACAGGAGAGCAAATTTGTTTTTCAGTTTTTTTTTTTGTTCTTTTTTGGTAATAAATATTGCAAAAACATACCACCTGTTTGTCCTGTCAGTGTCAAGCGTTCTAGTTAAACATTTCAGCTAAACACTGTACAATAAACGAAACTTAATTTTCAACTTAAACATTTGAATTATTGGTCCATGAAAAAAATGCACAAAGTATAAAATGCAGTTTGAACTACAGCTCATTTTACTTGTTGTCCTTTATTAATGACACCTCTTGTCTGTGGTAATGACATCAGGCAGGAAGTGAAAGGAAGGACGACAGACAGACTCTGTCAAAGCCCTGCTGTGAATTTACTGGGGTGAGGACATTGTGTTTCGGGGATGATGGGGTCATGGGGGTGGTGAGGGAGGGTCACCTGCTCTCCTGCTTACTCAACTCTGCTCTGGTGCACCGTTAATGTGCTCCAACCGTTTGATTAATGGACAGATGCTCAAAGTCAGGGTTTGTAGTGTTGAGAAGTCACAGAGGCAGAAACATGGAGGAAGAGGAAAAACGAGGTGGGAATTCTGTTTGGAGGAAAATTACAACCCCATGTCCCTTTTTTACTGCACAGATCGTGACCAAACGGCCCTCTGTTATGATTGAGCCTTATGGGTTATTTTGTCTAGTGGCTAGCAGCAGCAAGGTGATGATAGGTACTGAGACAGGAAGTGAAGTGGTGTGATGTTCTATCAGCAAGGCTGTGCAAAGAACACAAGCTGAGTGTTAATGTGTTGCTCTGTCATTTTGAATAGTCTGAGCTGTGAGAGGACACAAGTCAGACCTCAAACAGCTACAGGTTCCTCACGGACCTCCTGCATCTATTCCAAATTAATACTGAAGAAAAAATATTTTTGACTGACTGAGTTTATTTCCAATAGGTAAATGTATACCAGTGTTGTTTTTAGCTGTCTGGTTAATCCATTATTTAATATTTCTTGTCAATGTTTAGTGAATGTGCCCATTACTTGCCAAGCTTATGAAGTAACCAGTTAAACAATGGTTTGTTTTTATTTATTTCACATCCAAGACAAAGTCCTTTAACACATAACCCTGATATGTAAGTGAGATACAAGGTGTGTTCAAGGTATAATTTAATTATTTGTTATTGTTACAAGACTCAGGTCTCAAGTTTGCCTCTTATGTTTTTGCCTCAAGTCAGATCAAATCTTCAGGGAGTCGAGAGTGGCGGAGTCAAGTTTCAAGTGTCCATCTCTGCATCTCTGATGAACACACTGATAAAACAATCTAAAATACAGCTAGAGGGAATTTGCCCTCAGTTTGATGAAAGTAACACAATCTAATATTCCAGGATACAGGAAACACAAAATACAAGTTTATATATACTGCATAAAAAAGTGGAATTTCCTCTTAAGGTTTGGTGTAGAGCAGAAACACACACTGAAATGAAGCCCTGCCCTATGCTCACACCCTTAAGGGGGAAACCCCTCTTGAAGCAAATTTGTAATATTGGGATTTATAAATAAATGTAACTTGACCAGACTTAACACATACAAACAAACACACTGCCGCACATACTGTATGGCCCTGTGCTAATTGAATGCTCATCTACTGTTCTGCTGTTACAGTCACTGACCTGTTTCACACCAGATACTATATCACCTTGAAAAGTGAGCAGCCGTAGAAGTTGATCTGACATCCAACTATTACACTAAGGAAATTAACACATTCTATATGTCACATTTAATGATCAGAGGTACAACATGCTGCATTTGTAATAGCACAAAATACAGTGATTTGGAAAAATTACATTAAAGAATGAAGAGGGTCAAATGACATCCAGAGTTTGGTGATAGGCTCACAAACTAGTTGGTATGACCACAGATCTGAGCTGTTGGGTGTGCCAGTGTTAATGAAGTCGTGCTGTCAGGTAATTGAGAACACAGCTTCCTGAGCACTGAAATTGAGCTTTTATTAACAAATACATAATAAAATGAATGAGGCCAAGGCAACAGTAACAATACAGTTAGCTTATTGTGATATTTTGAGACCTTGTCAATCTTTGTGCTGAAACCAGAACTCCTTACCACGCCAATTAACCAAAGTCTTGTCACAGAGGCAAGATAGTCAACAGTGGTAAAGAGCATTACTGCAAGTAAACAAGAACATTGCAGGGCAGTGTATTTCAAAAAGGACATGCAGATGATTGTAAGATTTGTGTGCTCTGGAAGTAGAAAATTCCCATTCAAAAGCACATTGAGAGTTCTAATCTAGTAAGTAAATAAAGTGTATTTACTGTATATAGCACTTTTCTAAACCAGAGTTAAAAAGTGCTTAACAGTAGAGGAAATAATGATCATAAAAATAGTACCAATTACAGCACACAATAAATAATCTGATAATCAATTATTAAAACAAAATATACAACAATAAACAAAACAAATTATATACAAAAATACAGCATGGGTAACACAATAAAAGCTCATGTCATATGAGCTAATATTCATATTCTGTAAATGTAATCACCAACAGCAGCTTAGAAATAAACCTGAATCACACACTCCCACACAGTCACTCTCAACACACACAAATTGTTCGGTTAAGGTCATGCATCAGTGTAGCACTGATTTACGAGGCACTGAGTATTTTTTAGTGATGCCTGTTGCTGCCTTTCTCTTTCATGTCTTACACACACACACACACAATCTTTGTGAGTACACTCACTGATATAATGCATTCCCCCTACTCTAACCTTAACCATCAGAACTAAATAACCATAACTCTTCACCAAACCCTAACCTAAACCTGAACCCTAAAACCAAGTCTTAACCCTCAAAGAGGTGTTTCAGAAAGTGAGGACCAGCCAAAATGCTCACTTTCCCAAAATGTCCTCACTCTGTATTGAAAAATACAATGTAACAGTCCTTACAATGTAACAAGTACAAGCACACACACAACACACAGTTATGCAAATGTAGCTGAGCTGTGCATTTGTCATTAGGAAAAAAATACTTGTGGGAGCTGCTGGTAAAATGAGACTACAGCGCTAATTTTTGTTCTCCACCCTGTCCCCTCCTTTTTTGAAGAAGAACATAATTGTCATATATGAACAAGCACACCATGAAAGTGCACTGCCCCCCAACCCCACAAACACACACACACATAAAAGTTTTTTTTTAATGGGTTTCTTCTCTCCTTTTGTTCCCCTTTTTTCTTTTCCTTCCAGCTCTCTTCATGTTTCCTTTGCTCTTGTTTCATTCCCTTTGCTCTGAACCACTTTCATTTCAACAAATCTTTTGTATTATGTAAAAACATCTGCAGCAATGGGTTTTCCCTGGTT